GAGATAGATCCACGTAATAAGGGGAAAGAGAATTGGAGTTGGTTGAAGGTTGGGTGATACCTTTTCCCCCTTTTTTTACCCAGAGAAAACCGATTTAATTTTATTTTTTTTTTGGGTTTTTTGATCTGGATCAGGCCGTTTTGCGCTTTCTAATGTGGTCTATTTTTGTTGTCGGATAGAAGCGAGGATATAATTAGGTGCTCTAAATTCCTTTTTATATTTAACTTTTAGAACTTTCTAAGAACCATTCAAGAAAGCTCAAAATAACCCGATCAGGATACTAAATACTAAATAATTTAAAGCTATATCGATGCGTCTCCATAAATAGACCAAAATAATAAAAGGATTTAATGAATAAGTTCAAGATTTTTGCTGCAATGTTTTTACCTCTCTTTAGGGGCTATATTATTTTTTTTTATATTTTTATTTTTAGTGTCGTCAGCAAAGGAGCGTTTTGTCCATTTTATACAGTCCATGTCCGTCTATATTTATGTGTTCGTCCAATTCATTACACTACACAAATATAATTTATTGTCTTTTGTAAGTGTGTTCGTTAGTGTGTGAGTATATATATAAAAAATCGCTTTTATATGTGCTTATGAAAGCTTCAGATCAGTGTACACTAACAACTACATGTCGCTTTAACACGATATTTTTCGGTTGTTTTTTTACAGAGCCAACCTATTGGTATTGGTCGAATTAAAACAATCAAACTGCCAGCCACGACATCGCTTGAATGGCCTAAATTAAGGAGAAGAGAGGTTTAATTCAACTTTTATTTTATTTTATTTTTTCTCTCTCTATATTCTCTTTTTTAGAAGTGCTAATTTTTTTAAAACTCTTTTCTTCACTTAATCAATTGCTTTATGTGTGCAAGCTTCGTGCGCTATCTTCGTTGGAGACTCATCTTTATACTTTTAGACTTTACCCACCTCTCTTTAAAATCTTAAACTTTTAAATAAATAGAATCATTCGAAATACTAACAGCAAATTTTGTCGATTAATATAATTTAAAAAAAATTGAAAAATACGGAAAAGAGTGATTTTTCGTACGGAAACTATTTAAGTTGTCGTCGTTTTAGGATGTATTCGATATCAAGCGAACTCCTGGCCTTGAGGAGATATTATGCGAAGAATGGCCAAAGCTGGTTCAAGTTGAAATACAGAAGGTTGGCAATTTTCTGGTTTTTCAATCCGAAATATTTGTCTTTTGAAAATTAATTGTGATTTAACTGTTAATCAATCGTATCGACAAACTGTGCTCGTTTATCCAATTCAAGAATACCAGCTAATTTCACGCCCCTTATTTTATTTCTATAGTTATTATTCGCGAGATTTTGCGTTCTGTTTAAACTCATCTCTATTTTAATCGTCGTTTGTTGATTTTCACTCTATTCCTATTTAAAACACAAACAAATATTGAAATTCATCATCGCCATCTTCATTTTCTCACCATTAATCATTACTAACAATAATTCATTTTTTAATAATTTTTTAAAATTACTTTTATACCAAAAATCAATAATAGATCTCTTAATACAAAAAATTTTATATATATTTATTTTTTTTTTAATTTATATTTATATAAATTTTAGATATTAATACAACAAGTGTAATTTAATCTTGTTCTTACATTCTGAGGTGTTGAAATTCATCATCGCCATCTTCATTTTCTCACCATTAATCATTACTAACTATAAATTATTTTTTAATAATTTTTTAAAATTACTTTTACCCCAAAAATCAATAATAGATCTCTTAATACAAAAAATTTTATATATATTTATTTTTTTTAAATTTATATTTATATAAATGAAATCTAATTTAATCTTGTTCTTACATTCTGAGGTGTATATATTGTATATAATCATTGATAGCATCTTCAGGTTGTTATTATTGCATGCGCTATTGTTATTGTTTTATTTTTGTTGAGTTTGTCGATGCATCTCACATTAACAAGCTTGTTGTCACTGCATCGTATGAATTGTATATAAATTAGACTTCAAAAGACAAATATTTTATTTTTTTTTTTTATTATTTTTATTAAAAAAAATTTTTTTTACGATTTTTTTGATAATTAATCCCAGCTAAAGCACAAAAATTTTTATTTGGATTAAAAATAAAGCAACACATCACGAAGTCACTAACATTTTGATTTTTATATATATTTTATTTTTATTAATTTTGTTGCAATTTAAGCTAGCAAAAAGCTGCTTTATCTAATTAGCTCATTTAAATATACAACGTAAGTATTCCTAGGCCGCTAAAGCAATAAATCTAGACTCGGCATGCCCATAATCATATGGGCATTCCTTTGTATGAATGGTTAAGAATGATTGGTTCCGAATCCCTATAAAAAAGATTTTTCAAGGATACTTCAAGGATTTCCAGCTGAGCTTCAGTATTTTTTTGTTTGTAGACAACGCCAGTTTCCTCGAGAAGGCCATCTCTAGCTGAACTAATACCAGATTGGCCTGTTTTACACCATTATGAGAGGAAGGAGGTTCGCCTGGTTACCACTCAATATTAAAAAAAACGAGCAAAATACTCGATATTCTATTTTCAGTCAAGTGATTGCACGATTGTTCTCCCACACATTTTGCTTGTTATCCTCTTCACGTTTATCATTTATTGATCTCCACCAACATGGTGGAGACTGGATGTCTAACACGGAACTTTTCGTTTCAATGGCGAGGCGTTCGTTTTTCTGGAAAGAAATCGATAAACGCCTCACCAATAATTTCTTAATATTAATAATCACTCCTCTATTGATGTTGTCTCTGCATCGATGCATGTTCTTCTTGAACCACTCCAAACAAAAAAGTTTTTTTGTTGGTCAATTTTTTTATACAATTTTTTATATATATATTTTTTTTTAATTTTAATACCTTTTTGGGATATTTTTACCTTCTTTTTCAGTTTGGTTTTTGAGCTGATTTTTCAATTTTGACACTCAGCGACCACCTTCTATATATGTTCACCTATAAATGTTCTTTTTTACCACATTAATTCAAAAGCGTTAACATTTATTTTACCTTTTATAGAAACAAGAGTCTTTCTTGAAACCCTTGGTCGATCAATTTGCGAAAGAAGGCAAGGATAAGAAAGTTGTCTTTGAAGCTGGATTCTCCAAACCAAACTGCAAACCAAAATGGTTATTCAGAAAAGACGTTAGTATACTTATTGTTTAATTAAAAGTATATTTTTTTGGTTATCTTGTTTTAGGAATTATTCTCGGGCTCGAAGTACAAGTTCAAAAACGAAAATGATATGTATCAGTTGATCATCATGAATCCTAAGGTAGAGGACAGTGGGAAATATACAATCGAAATAGGTGGTGTTACATGCACGGGTTACTTAAACGTCGACGAACCAGATCCTTGCTACACCTTCACCAAGCAATTAAAAAAGAAATACGACGGCTTCACCGATCACGATTTACTTCTAGAATGTACGGTAAGCAGCAATATGGCCGTCGTGCTCTGGTACAAAGGCGAAGAAAAAATCAAAGAAAGCAAGAAATTTGAGATATCGAAAGATATGCAAGGAGTTTGCAAGCTAACCATCAAAGATTGCGTCTTCGAGGACGACGGAGATTACTCTTGCAGAATAAGCAAGCAAACAGAAAGAACAGACGCCAAAGTCGTCATAAAAGAATACCCCTACAAGTTTGTCAAAGTTTTGAAACATCAACAACTCGTCGAGAAAGAAAACGTAACATTAGTGTGCGAATTAGACGACGAAGCCGGCGAAGTTAAGTGGTTCAAAGGCGACCAAGAAATTAAGGCAGATAAAAGGATGAACATTACCAAAGATGGCCGTAAAAGGAAGCTGGTCATCAAAGATTCTAAAGTTACAGATGCTGGGATGTATTCTTGCGTCAGTAACGCCGATAAAACTGAAGCAGAGATCGTCGTAAATTGTAAGTCAAATTAATTTTATTTCCACTTGTTTCGTCACTTTATGATTCCAGATCTTAACCGCTTCAACAAAAAACTCAAGGACACGGACGCAATCGAACGCGAAAAATTAATCCTTGAAGTCGAACTCCAAGATCAAACAGCTCCAGCCGATTGGACCTTCAACGGTAAACCCATCGAGCCTAACGAACGCGTCGAAATTAAAAACTTAGGCGGTGGTCGCCACCAACTCGTCTTCAACAAACTCGAAATGGAAGACGACGGCGAAATCATGTGCGAATCGGGAAAATTGCAATCATCCATGAAATTAACCGTAAAGAAAGGCGAGAGCAAACCAATGATCGACTTCCCAGACACTTACGAAGCTCCCGCGCATAAAGCCATCCTTATGGAAGTCCCATATAAAGGTAAAAAAAATCAGTGTCTCCAAATGTATGTCTTATATGTTTTGTGTATGTCTTAAATTGTAGTTGATGGCACCAGACAAACACCAATCGAAGCAAAATTAGTCAAAAACGATAAAATCCTCGGTGCCAAAGACGTCGATATCATAATATCAGACGATAAAGTCACCTTCAAAATAAAAAAACCATCGAGAGATCAATCCGGGCAATACCAAATTAAAATCGGCAACGGGCAAGGTGAAGACACTAAAGACTGCAACATCATCATGCAAGATGTACCCACTCCACCTGAAAACGTTGAAGTGATGGACGTCTTCCAAGACTCTTGCATCATCACATGGAAGAGACCAACGGATGATGGAGGTTCTCCCCTCATTCATTACGTGGTCGAAAGACAAGACATCAGTCTTAAAGGTGGTTTTGAAAACGTTGGCGAATTAAAAGCTGGGGAACCTACCAAATTTAAAATTGAAGGATTAACTCCTAAAAAGACTTACAAATTTAGAGTTCGCGCGGTAAATAAGTTAGGGCCAAGCGAACCAGGAAATTACGCAAAACCGGTCTTAGCCAAAGATCCTTGGGATGAACCAAGCAAACCAAAGAACGTTGAAGTTGTTGATTGGGACAAAGACCACGCCGATCTTAAATGGGATAAACCAGAAAACGATGGCGGCGCCCCAATCACATCTTACATCATAGAGTATAAAGACAAATTTGGCAAAGATTGGGTTAAAGGAATCGAAGTTTCCGGAGACCAATTCTTAGGCACCGTTCCCGGGTTAAAAGAAAACAACCAATACGAATTCAGAGTTCGTGCTGTTAATAAAGCAGGACCTGGCGAACCCAGCGATGTCACCAAACCAATCATTGCTAAATGCAGATTCGTTAAACCATACATAATCGGTAACGATTTGATTAACATTGTCATCAAAAAAGGTCAAACCATTAAATACGACATCAAATACGGCGGCGAACCCGAACCAGAAGTTAAATGGATGTTAGATAAAAAAGAAATTAAACAAGACGCCGAAGAACGCATTACAATCGATAAATATGAAAGAAATACTGTCCTTACAGTTCGAAGAGCTGTAAGAGGCGATAGCGGCAAATACATTTTAGTTTTGAGCAATAGCTCGGGTACCGTTGAAGGTACAGCCGATGTAGTTGTTTTAGACAAACCCTCACCGCCGAAAGGACCCCTTAAAGTCGAAGAGGTACGCTCAGATCACGTCAAAGTGAAATGGCAAAAACCAGATGATTTTGGCGGCACCGATCTTACCGGTTATGTTTTGGAAAAGATGGACATGGACACCGGAAGGTGGATCCCCGCCGGAGAAGTTGGCCCTAACGAAGACACCTTCACTTTCAAGGGATTAACACCCAAAAAGAAATACAAATTTAGAGTCAGAGCTAAAAACAAGGAAGGCGAATCCGAACCACTCGAAACCGACGACGCCATTTTGGCAAAGAATCCTTACGACGAACCGGGCGCGCCTGGAAAACCAGAAATCATCGATTACGACAATAAGAGCGTCACGTTAAGATGGGCCAAACCGGAAAACGACGGCGGAAGACCCATCACGCATTACACCATTGAAATGAAAGATAAATTCACTGCCGATTGGATTGAAGTAGCCACCACGGAAAATAACGAACCTTGCGGAAAAGTTGAAGGATTAAAAGAAAAGATGGTTTATCAATTCCGTGTGAGAGCTCATAATAAAGCTGGTAAAGGTGCTCCATCAGAAGCCACAGATAATCATTTATGCAAACATAGAAATCGTAAGTAATTTATGTTTTTGGCGTTCATTTCCTTTTCTTTTTTTGTATTAAGTAATGCAAATATGCAACAGAATATGCGATTTGCGTATTGCAATATGCGATTTGCGTATTTGGTTGCATACTTGTAATGATGATAATTAATTAACATTTTTCTTTTAGTTAAACCCCGCATTGACCGAGAGACCTTCAAAACTGTTATTATTAAAGCCGGAAGAACACACAAATGGTCAGTTGACATCAGTGGTGAACCACCACCGACAGTTCGATGGGTGTGGCGAGATGATATTCCGCTAACGAATAGCGAACGTATTAAAATAGAAAACGTGGATTATCACACTGATTTTACATTAACAAATTGCGTCCGTAAAGATACCGGAAAATATACTTTAATAGCTGAAAACGCGAATGGAAAAGATCAAGAAACCGTGGAATTGACGGTTCTTGGAAAACCTGGAGCTCCAGGTGGACCTCTCGTAGTTTCTGACGTCACAGCAACTAAAGCTAAAGTCGCTTGGAAAAAACCAGACGATGATGGAGGTTTGCCAATTAAAGAGTACGAAATTGAAAAGATGGATCTCGCCACTGGTAAATGGGTGAGATGTGGACGAGTACCTGGTGATAAAGTCCCCACTGAATTCGAAGTAACCGGGTTAAATCCCGGCTCTGAATACAAATTTAGAGTAACAGCTGTAAACGATGAAGGAGACTCAGAACCTCTCGTTTCTGATAAAGGAATCGTAGCCAAGAATCCATTTGATGAACCAACCAAACCTGGTACCCCAGAAATCGTCGACTACGACAACAAAGGTGTCAACTTGAAATGGGAGAAACCCAAAAGCGATGGTGGCGCCCCAATCGAAAAGTACATCATCGAAAAGAAAGACAAATACAAACCAGATTGGGAAAAAGCTGGAGAAACAATCGGCGACCAACCCGAAGCGCGCATTGAAGACCTAAAAGAACGCGGAGAATATCAATTCCGCGTAGTTGCCGTTAACAAAGCTGGTCTCTCACCGCCTTCAGATGCATCAAAAATGCAAATGATCAAACATCGTGCGCTTAAACCCCGCATTGATAGAACAAATTTGAAACCAATTACAGTACGCGCCGGAAAAATAGTAAAATACGATGTCGATGTCCAAGGCGAACCTGCCCCTACTTGCACGTGGTTCCACATCGAAAAAGAGCTAGCTTCAGAAGGTAACATTGAAATCACCAATGTTGAATATAACACGAAAATCAGCATTACCAACACCATTCGTAAAAACACCGGTGTTTACAAAATCAAAGCTGTCAACGAACATGGATCAGATGAAGCCGAAGTCGAAATAACCATCCTTAGCGCCCCATCTAAACCTAAAGGACCTCTTAAAGTATCCGACGTCACTAAGAACGGTGCTAAATTAAAATGGGATAAACCAGAAGATGATGGTGGAAAACCAATCACTGGTTACGTTGTTGAAAAATTAGACAAAGCAACTGGACGCTGGGTACCAGTTGGAAGAACTTTAGAACCCGAAATGGACGTTAAAGGTCTACAAGAAGGAAACGAATACAAATTTAGAGTGAAAGCCGTCAACGATGAGGGAGAATCCGAACCGCTAGAAACGGAAGGTTCGATCATTGCTAAAAATCCGTTTGATGTTCCTGGAAAACCAGGAACTCCCGAAATCGTTGATTGGGACTCCGATCGCGTCGAGCTTAAATGGGCCGCTCCAAAACACAACGGTGGAGCACCCATTACCGAATATGTTATTGAAAAGAAAGAGAAATTCTCAACGTCTTGGGATGAAATCTTAAAAACGAATTCTTCAGACTGCGATGCTATCGTTACAGGACTTAAAGAAGGAAATACTTATCAATTTAGAGTGCGCGCCGTAAACAAAGCAGGTCCAGGTGAACCTTCAGATGGTACTCAACCCCACGTTACTAAAGCCAGGCATAAGAGGCCATTGATTAATCGCGAAAAACTCCACACTGTGAAAGTTCGCGCGGGACAATTAGTCAAATTCGATGTTGATGTCCAAGGCGAACCCCCACCGACAATTACCTGGAACTTCGCAAATAAAGTCCTCGAGAGTAATAACCACACCAAAATCGAGAACGAAGATTACAACACCAAGTTTACTATGACTGGCACAACCAGAAAAGACACAGGAAAATACACGATTAGAGCCGAAAACGAATCAGGATTCGATGAAGCTCCCGTCGAAGTAATCATCCTTGATAAACCAGGAAAACCGGAAGGACCATTAGAAGTCTCGGACGTCCATAAAGAAGGCTGTAAACTTAAATGGAAAAAACCCAAAGATGATGGGGGACTCCCACTCACCGGATACGTTCTTGAAAAACAAGAAGCCGGATCAGGGAGATGGGTTCCCGCTGGATTTATCGACCCAGATAAAACAGACCATGAAATCACCGGTTTAGAACCAAACAAGCGTTACGACTTTAGAGTAAAAGCAGTTAACGAAGAAGGCGAATCTGAACCTCTCGAATCCGACGCCTCCATTTTGGCCAAAAATCCATTCGATATTTCCGCACCTCCCGGTTTACCTGAAATTGTAGATTGGGACGAACATTCCGTCAAACTCAAGTGGGATAAACCAATTCGTGATGGCGGAGCTCCAATCACCGGCTACATCATCGAAGCTATGGATAAAAACACCGGGCACTTTGCAAAAGTTGCGGAAGTTGGCCCGACTTGTCAAGGAACAGTTGGAAAACTTGAGGAGGGCAATCAATACAAATTTAGAGTTAGGGCTATTAACAAAGCTGGTCAATCAGAACCATCCGAACAAACCAATTGGCACACCGCTAAACCAAGATGGTTGAAACCATTGATCGATCGCACAAACTTGAAACCATTAACGATCAAATCAGGCCTCTCTATCAGTTTAGACATCAACATCCAAGGTGAACCTCCACCGAAAGTTACTTGGTTCTTCAACGGCCAAGAACTTCAAGGAGACGAAATTATGCGCATCGATAACATTGACTATAACACGAAATTCTTCGTTCTTAAATCAAAACGGACTATGTCAGGAAAATACACAATCACCGCTAAGAACGAGGTTGGAGAAGACACAGCCGATATCGACATCACGATCTTGGGTAAACCAGGAAAACCCAAAGGACCTTTGGAAGTATCAGACGTAACCAAACATGGTTGCAAACTTAAATGGAAAAAACCGGAAGATGACGGAGGTGCTCCAATTGATCATTACGAAATCGAAAAACTTGATCCTTTAACTGGTCAGTGGTTACCTTGCGGAAGAAGCAACGAACCCGAAGCAACAGTAACCGGACTCCAAGAAGGCAAACCCTACAAATTTAGGGTAAAAGCCGTAAACAAAGAAGGAGAATCCGAACCCCTCGAAACCGAAAAAACAATCATCGCTAAAAATCCATTCGATGAACCAGGCAAACCAGGTCGTCCAGATCTTAAAGATTGGGACAAAGACTTTGTCGAACTTGCATGGAAACCACCCGCGAACGACGGTGGTGCCCCTATTGAAAAATACATCATTCAAATGCACGATAAAGCCGGACGTGGTTGGATTGATGCTGCTACAGTACCCGGAGATAGAACAGCCGGTAGAGTTGATACGGTCGAAGAAGGCCACGAATACGAATTCCGTATTGTTGCTGTAAATAAAGCTGGGCCTAGCGAACCTAGCGATCCATCTAAACCCGTAATTGCCAAACCACGATTTTTGGCACCTAAAATCGATCGTAAGAATCTCCAAAAGAAAACTTTGCGCGTTGGGCAACTCCTTCGCATTGAAGCAGATGTCCAAGGTGAACCTGCACCTACAGTTGTATGGACCCTCAAAGAACAAACTTTAAGAACAACCGACAGATTAAAAATTGAGAATGAGGATTACCACACCACATTCATTCTTCAAAAAGCTAAACGATCAGATACCGCTACATACACCGTCACTGCGAGGAACGATTCCGGTGTAGATACAGTCGATGTTGAAATCTTGGTTCTTAGCAAACCATCTAAGCCTAAAGGCCCTCTTAAAGTTTCTGATGTATCCGCGGAAGGTTGTAAATTAAAATGGGAACCCCCAGAAGACGACGGTGGTGAACCGGTTAAAGAATACCTCGTTGAAAGGCAAGATGTTGAAACTGGAAGATGGGTTCCTGTTGCAACCACCAAAACCCCCGAAGCTGATGTAACCGGATTAATCGAAGGAAAAGATTATCAATTCCGAGTAAAAGCTGTGAATTCCGAGGGCGAATCGGAACCTTTAGTCACCGATGCTCCAACCACTGCTAAGAACCCGTACACTGAACCAGATGCTCCTGGTAAACCAGAACTTAAAGATTGGAGTCGCAATCACGCCGATCTCAAATGGGAAGCTCCGAAACAAGATGGTGGAGCACCAATCACAGGATATGTCGTTGAAAAGAAGAACCCCATTACTGGAAAATGGGAGAAAGCTGTTGAAGTTCCAGCAAATAAAACTGAAGCGAGAGTACCTGATTTACAAGAAGGACAGAAGTATCAATTCAGGGTCAAAGCCGTTAATAAAGGTGGCGAAAGTAAACCTTCACCTCCTTCAGAAACCATCACTGCTAAAGATAGATTTGTTCCACCTAAAATTGATAGAACCCATCTTAAAGATATCACCGTTAAAGCCGGACAACTTATTAAACTCGACGTTAAAGTTTCTGGTGAACCCCCACCAACTAAAACTTGGTTCCTTAACAAAGCTCGTATCGAAAAACGAGACGACATCACTATTGATTTAGAAGATTATAAAACTAAATTTGTTATAACCAGCGCTGCAAGAATACACACTGGTTCATTAACATTAAAAGCAGAAAACACCAGTGGCAAAGATGAAGCTACTATTCAAATTAAAGTTTTGGATAAACCAGCTAAACCTGAAGGACCTCTTAAGATCAGCGACGTTCATAAAGAAGGTTGTAGTTTAAGGTGGAATCCACCACTTGATGATGGTGGTTCTCCCATCGATTATTATCAAGTTGAAAAAATGGATAAAGACACCGGACGGTGGGTTCCGGCTGGAAGAGCTAAAGAACCCAAAATCGATCTTGATAACTTAGAACCTGGTCAAGAATACAAATTTAGAGTAGCCGCTGTTAACTCTGAGGGTGAATCAGTTCCTTTGGAGGCAGAAGAAAGTATTATCGCTAAAAATCCATTCGGTAATTTTATCAAATTGTATAAAATTAACTTTATTAATTGATTTTGTTTCTATTTCAAGATGAACCTGGTGCTCCTGGTAAACCTGAGGTTACCGATTGGGACAAAGACCACGTAGACCTACGATGGACTCCACCAGCGAACGATGGTGGATCTCCAATCACAGGGTACATCATCGAGAAAAGGGAGAAAGGTTCTCCCAAATGGACAAAAGCCGGCGAAACGGGTCCTCATGACACCAAAGGAACAGCCGATAATCTCGACGAAGGCGTCGAATATGAATTCCGCGTACGTGCGGTTAATGCTGCTGGGCCAGGCGAACCCAGCGCTGCCTCCAATTCCGTCATAACCAAACCCAGAAGATGTAAGATATAAAAAAATTATTTATCAAAGTGTTTATTCGTATTTCCCTTTGTTATAGTGGCTCCTAAAATCGATAGAAGAACTTTGCATAACATTACTGTTAAAGAAGGAGAACCAATCTATATTGACGTCAAAGTATCTGGAGAACCTGCACCTGAAATTACGTGGTACCAAGACGACAAGACCATCATCCCCGGCGGTAGCCGCCGTATTGATAACATTCCTTACAACTCCAAATTCTTCAACGATAAACCCGAACGCAAGGATACTGGAGTTTATAAGATACAAGCCACGAATAAATACGGGCAGGATACGGCAGAAATAGAAATTAACGTCATTTGCAAACCAGGAAAACCAGAAGGTCCACTCGAAGTTAGCGACATTCACAAAGATGGGTGCACCCTCAAATGGAAAAAACCAAAAGACGACGGCGGCGAACCAATCGAAAACTACGTCGTTGAAAAACTTGATCCAGAAACCGGTATTTGGCTACCAGTTGCTAAAACAGATGGTCCAATACCAGAATTAAAAGTAGACGGCCTTGTACCAGGTCATGAATACAAATTCCGCGTTAAAGCCGTTAATAAAGAAGGCGAATCAGAACCTTTGGAGACACTAGGAACCATTGTTGCAAGAGATCCATTCAGTAAGACATCTTATTTATATTTATATTAAAGTTTTATATCAATGTTTTTTTATAGCAACTCCAAGCAAGCCAGGTGCTCCAGAACCCGAAGATTGGTCCGCAAACCACGTTGATCTTAAATGGTCCGAACCCCCATCCGATGGTGGATCTCCAATTACCGGTTACATCATTGAAATGAAAGATAAATACAGCCCTCTTTGGGAAAAAGCTATCGAAACAACCACTTCTAAACCAGCCGCTACAGTAACTGGATTAGTCGAAGGAAATGAATATCAATTCAGAGTAATCGCAGTTAACAAAGCTGGCCTCAGTGCACCCTCAGAACCCGGCAAAACCTTCGTTGCCAAACCAAGATTTTTGGCGCCGAAAATCGATCGACGCCACCTTCACGATATCACTTTATCGTCTGGTTCGGCGCTCAAATTCGAAGCGAACATCATTGGTGAACCCCCACCGACGGTTGAATGGAAATTCAACGCGGTTACTTTAAGAAACGACAAAAAAACTTTAATTGATAACGTCGATTATTTCACTAAGATCGCGATTAGACCAGTTAAACGCGAAGATAGCGGGGAATACACCGTTACAGCTTCAAATTCTTCTGGTAGAGATGTTCACGTCATCAATGTAACAGTAACGGATAAACCATCACCTCCCGAAGGTCCACTACAAGTTTCTGACGTCCATAAACACGGATGCAAATTGAAATGGAAGAGACCTAAAGACGACGGCGGTACTCCTATCGAATACTATCAAGTTGATAAGCTTGATGAAGAAACAGGATGTTGGGTACCTTGTGGAAGATCGACAGAACCTAACCTTGAAGTCAATAACTTAACCCCAGGAAAAGAATACAAATTCCGAGTTGCCGCTGTAAATGCGGAAGGCGAATCAAAACCTTTAGAAACTGAACATTCGATTATTGCTAAGAATCCATTTGATGAACCTGGACCACCAGGACACCTTAAAGCTACAGATTGGGATAAAGACCACGTCGATCTTGCTTGGACTCCACCTGCCAACGATGGAGGCTCCCCAATAACTGGCTATATCGTCGAAAAGAAAGACAAATTTGGTGAATGGGAAAAAGCTTTGGAAGTCCCAGCCACCGCTCTTAAAGCCACAGTACCCGATTTAATCGAAGGTCAACCGTACGAATTTAGAGTCCGCGCAGTGAACGCAGCTGGACCTGGTGACCCTAGCAACGAAACCCCAACGATTATCGCTAAAGCCCGCAACCAAGCTCCTAAAATCGATAGAACTAACCTCATCGAAGTTAGAATTCGCGCCGGACAAAACTTTGGATTTGATGTTAAAGTCACCGGCGAACCCATGCCCACAACTAAGTGGTTAATTAAGGGTAAAGAGATCAAATCCAGTGATAGAGTTAAAATACAACACTCTGATTACAACACCAAAATAAGCATCAAAGGCGCAACTAGAGCTGAATCTGGAACTTACACCGTCACCGCTGAAAACGTAAACGGCAAAGACATCGCCGATGTAGAAGTAATCGTTTTAGACGTCCCAAGCCCACCTGGTGGACCACTCAAAGTTTCTGACGTACACGCCAACGGTTGCAAACTCAACTGGCGACCACCAGCTGATGATGGTGGCCAACCCGTTGAATGCTACGTTGTTGAAAAAATGGATGAAGCCACCGGAAGATGGGTACCCGTTGGAGAAACCGACGGCCCATCCACATCCATGAACGTCGACGGTCTTACACCCGGCAAAAAATATAAATTCAGAGTACGAGCAGTTAATAGACAAGGCAAATCTGAACCACTAACAACAGATAAAGCTATTGAAGCTAAAAATCCATTCGACGAGCCCGGAAAACCAGGAGTACCTGAAATAACCGATTTCGACAAAGACTTCGTCGAACTTAAATGGGACAAACCGGAAACTGACGGTGGTTCACCGATTACCGGCTACATCATTGAAAAACGCGACAAATACAATCCCAATTGGGAGAAATGTGCCGAAGTTGAAGGCGACGCCACCGTTGGAAAAGTTAACGATCTCATTGAAGGCACCCCATATGAATTCCGAATTCGTGCAGTGAACAAAGCGGGACCTGGTGTTCCTAGCGACGCTTCTAAAATCCACGTTGCAAGACCTAAAAATCTTGCACCTAAAATCGACCGAAACGCTTTCGGTAATATTAAGATTCGTGTTGGGCAATCGTTCGAATTTAACGTTCCTGTTATCGGGGAACCCCCACCGACGAAGGAATGGATGACCAAAGATTGTCTCATCCTCGCAACAGATCGCATTAAAATCACCAATGAGGATTACCTCACTAAATTTAAATTAACCGAAGCTAAACGATCAGATAGTGGCGAGTACACATTAGTAGCTAAAAATCGCAATGGTAAAGATACCGCTACGGTTACTGTTGTTGTTATGGATATTCCAACAGCTCCAGAAGGGCCACTCAAAGCTGATAATGTCACCAAGAATTCACTTAACCTTCACTGGAGACCACCAAAAGACGACGGTGGTTGCGAAATCACTCATTACGCCGTTGAGAAGTTGGATATGGAGAATATGAGGTGGGTGCCTGTTGGAGAAGCTGTTGGAACTTCAATGAGAGTAGACCATCTCGTTGAAGGACACGATTATAAATTCAGGGTTAAAGCTTGCAACAAATTAGGAGAATCTGCACCTTTAACCACACTCGAGAGTATCACTGCTAAAGATCCGTTCAGTAAACCAGATAAACCCGGCCAACCACAAGCTACCGATTGGGATAAGGATCATGTCGACTTAGAATGGACCGCTCCTAAGAAAGATGGAGGCAGTCCCATCACCGGTTATATCATTGAAAAGAGACCTAAACACGGAACTTGGGAGAAAGCATGCGAAGTGCCTGGTAATCAAACGAAAGGAACCGTTCCTGATCTAACGGAAGGTGAAGAATACGAATTTAGAGTTATCGCTGTTAATAAAGGTGGACAAAGCGAACCTAGCGAAGCTTCTCTACCTGTAATCGCTAAACCAAGATTCCTTGCACCCAACTTTAATAAGACACTCTTACACGATATTACGGTTAAAGCTGGTAGCAGAATTAGTTATAATATTCCTATTGAAGCCGCGCCAAAACCAACTGCCCAATGGGCTAAAGATGGCAGAGAAATCCATTCGAGCGATAGAGTCGATATGTTCGTCTCGACTAGCCGTGTAACATTTGATATTGCATCCGCTTTAAGGTCTGATACTGGAAGATATACTTTAACATTAAAGAACGACTTGGGTCAATGTTCAGCATCTGCCAGTGTTACAGTTATAGATAGACCTGGACCACCGCAAGCACCACTCGATGTGAGTTGTGTCACTAAAGAAAGTGCTCGTATCAGCTGGAAACCACCGAAAGATGACGGTGGTTCACCAATTCTCCACTATATCGTTGAAAAAATGGATGTTTCCCGTGGAATTTGGTCAGATGCCGGCATGGCTACAATTACATCTCACGATATCACCAGATTGGTTCATCGTAAAGAGTATTATTTCCGAGTTAAAGCTGTTAATGCTGTAGGGGAATCTGAACCATTAGAAACTCCAAGAAGCATTATCGCCAAAAACGAATTTGATGAGCCAGACGCTCCTAGCAAACCTGCCGTTACCGATTGGGATAAAGATCACGTTGACCTTGAATGGAATCCTCCCAAGAACGATGGAGGATCTCCCATCACCGGTTACATTATCCAAAAGAAAGAAAAAGGAAGTCCCTATTGGATCAACGCAGTTCACGTACCTGCTAAATCCAACTCTGCCACTGTTCCTGATTTAACAGAAGGACAAGAATACGAATTTAGAGTCATTGCTACTAACGCTGCAGGTCAAAGTGAACCATCAGAACCTTCAGATCTTGTCACAGCTAAAGCTAGATTCCGTAAGTATATTACACCGTTGGAAATAATTCACGAGCACACCCTGTATAATCTGAACGCGTCTGTCTAGCGCAATGAAATTTGGTATGGAAGTTGTACTAAAGTAGTGTAACTTATCCTCACAAAAAGAATTTTTGAAATGATCGAAAATTTTTTCGAATTTTGCAATTTTCGCCGATTAAGTTTTAAAAATTCCACTTCTTGGAATATGAGTATGAAAATTTCCTAAAGTGTTAATAAGAGTGTCCTCTTTCCAATGAACCAATCTGTTTTTAAAAATAACTTTTAGTTTTTGAGAAAACAATATTTGAAGTTTTGATAAAATTTTCGATGTTGCGATAATTTTCAAAATTCGTTATAAAATTCATTTCTTGAAGGATCCTTGTGGAAATATCACCAATTATTAATTAAAGTATCCTCTTTTTAATGCATCAAACCGTTTTGAAAAATCGCTTTTACTTTTTGAGAAATAAATTTTTGAAATGATCGGAAATTTTTTCGAATTTTGCAATTTTTGCCGATTAAGTTTTAATAATTCGTATAAAATCGATTATTTGGAATATAAGTATGAAAATTTCCCAAAATGCTAATAAAAGTGTCTTCTTTCCAATGAACCAACCCGTTTTGAAAAATTACTTTTAGTTTTTGAGAAAATAATGTTTGAAGTGTTGATAATTTCCAATTTTCACCGATAATTTTCAAATTTCGCTATAAAATTCATTTCTTGAAGGATCCTTGTGGAAATATCACCAATTATTAATTAAAGTATCCTCTTTTAAATGCAACAAACCGTTTTGAAAAATCGCTTTTACTTTTTGAGAAATAAATTTTTGAAATGATCGGCAATTTTTTCGAATTTTGCAATTTTCTCCGATTAAGTTTTAAAAATTCGCATAAAATCTACTTCTTGGCATATGAGTATGAAAATTTCCCAAAGTGTTAATAAGAGTGTCCTCTTTCCAATGAACCAACCCGTTTTGAAAAATTACTTTTAGTTTTTGAGAAAACAATATTTGAAGTTTTGATAATTTCCAATTTTCATCGATAATTTTCAAAATTCGCTATAAAATTAATTTCTTGAAGGATCCTTGTGGAAATATCACCAATTATTAATTACAGCATCCTCTTTTTAATGCAACAATCCGTTTTGAAAAATCACTTTTAGTTTTTGAGAAATAAATTTTTGAAAAAATCGATTTTGCAATTTTCGCCGATTAAGTTTTAAAAATTCGCATAAAATCCACTTCTTGGAATATGAGTATGAAAATTTCCCAAAGTGTTAATAAGAGTGTCCTCTTTCCAATGAACCAACCCGTTTTGAAAAATAACTTTTTGTTTTTGAGAAAGCAATATTTGAAGTTTTGATAAAATTTTCGAAATTCGCTATATAATTAATTTCTTGTGGAAATATCACCGATTATTAAACCTTTATGCTCCGCAAATATTATGGATTTATCTTCACGCGTTCAGATTATATAGGGTGTGCTCGTGAATTATTTCCAACAGTGTAAAAAAAAATTGATTATTAAGCTGGCTATTTTAATATTCTTTTATAGTTGCTCCAAAGATCAAAACACCACTTAACGATATTAGAATCAAAGCAGGACTCATCCTGCATGTTGATATTGACTTTATCGGCGAACCAACGCCGGACGTCATATGGACCGTTGGAGGAAAATCTCTTACAGCTGATGAACGTACTTCAGTAACATCAATCGGCCATCACACTATTATACACACTGTCAATGCTAAACGATCAGATAGCGGCCTTTATAACTTGCACTTAAAGAATAGCTCGGGAATGGATGAAGGGTCATTCCAAGTCATTGTTTTAGGTAAATAATACATTGAAATAATTGACAAAAAATTGACTTAATTAATATTTAGATCGCCCTGGACCACCGGAAGCTCCATTGGAATACGAAGAAATTACAGCACAAAGTGTAACATTATCATGGAAACCACCAAAGGATAATGGAGGAAGTGAAATAACGTATGAAATATTATTTTGGGGTTTTTAAATTTTGTTCACTTTTTGGTGGTTTTTAGTGGTTATGTTATTGAAAAACGCGATTTAACACATGGAGGTGGCTGGGTGCCAGCCGTAAATTACGTCAACCCCAAGTTTAATCACGCCTCAGTTCCAAGATTGATCGAAGGCACTAAATACGAATTTCGAGTTTTCGCCGAGAATTTACAAGGACGTTCAGATCCATTGAATACTCAAAAACCAGTTGTCGCGAAGAACCAATACGGTATGTATTATTTTTCGATTTTTTCCAGGGTTTATATCGGAAAAAAAACGGTAGAGTATTCATGGATTAATAATTAATTTTTAAATTAAAATATTAATCGTTATTTTTAAACCATAATGATAGATGTTCCTGGAAAGCCTGGCAAACCAGAGCTTGTGGATAGCGATAAAGATCATATTAAGATTAAATGGAGTGCTCCAATCAGCAACGGTGGCTCCCCCATTATGGGGTATGACATTGAAAGGAGAGATCGGGCCACCGGGCGCTGGATAAAACTGAATAAGGACCCCGTTCCTGGACAAAGTTATTATGACGACAGAGTTCAAGATGGCCACCAATACGAATATAGGGTATCTGCAGTTAACGCCGCAGGACCCGGTAAACCAAGTGATGCCTCAAGTGTATTCACAGCTAAACCAATGAAAGGTATATTAAAATTTAAAAAAAAATTATTTATTATTTACAATTACAAAATCAAACAGAAAAACCGAAACTCTTCTTGGATGGCATCATCGGGCGCAAGATCAAAGTTAGAGCTGGCGAACCAATTAACATCGACATCCCACTCGCTGGTGCACCAATCCCAACCGTCGAGTGGTGCAAAAATGCTATTCGAATTCCAGAATCTAACAGAGTATCCACTGACACAAACAGCGAAAGAACCAGATTGCGCGTTGAAGCATCCAATAGAGACGATTCTGGAAAATACACCGTTACAGCTAAGAATGAATACGGCTCAGATTCCGGTGATATCGAAGTAATCGTTGTTGATAAACCAGGCGTACCGAGAGGACCTTTAACCTACACAGAAACTACCCAAGAAACTGTATCATTATCTTGGAACCCACCCTTAGATGATGGAGGTGGTGACATCACTAATTACATCGTTGAAGTAAGCGAATTCGGCACAGATTCATGGAGACCTTGTCCCGGATTCTGTCCAAGACCAGCCTTCACCGTTCGCGGCCTCACCGAAGGCAAAAAATACGTATTCCGCGTTAGAGCGGAAAATATTTATGGCGTTTCTGAACCATTAGAAGGCAAACCTGTTATTGCCAAGAGTCCATTTGATCCTCCAGGTGCTCCTCATCAACCAGAAGTACTTGGATATACACCTTCAAGTTGCTCCTTAGCTTGGAAACCTCCTACTTATACCGGAGGAAAACCAATTACCGGGTATTATATTGAAAAACGCGAACGCGGTGGCGAATGGATGAGGGTTAATAATTATCCAACACCGAATAATACTTATACTGTTCAAGATTTACGCGAAGGTAACAAATATGAATTTAGGGTAGTTGCCGTTAATGAAGCTGGACCTGGTGAACCAAGCAAACCAACTGAACCTATTATTGCTTCCCATCAAAGATGTAAGTATTTCTATATTATTTTTAAACATATATGTATATTTTTTTTTGCAATAGTCAAACCAGATCCACCTGAACCACCAAAAGCAGATCGTGTTACAAAAGATAGTGTTACACTTTCTTGGAGACCACCGCGTAACGACGGAGGTTCTAAAATTAAAGGTTACATCGTGCAACAAAGGAAAAAAGGAGAGGATGATTGGAGCGACGTCAACGCAATTCCAATCCCAGGAACAGTACATACAGTTCCAAGACTTAAAGAAGGTGAAGAGTACCAATTCAGAGTTATTGCCGTAAATGATTTAGGTAATTCCGAACCAAGCAAAGCAAGCCCATATATCCTCATTGAAGAACAACCAAATAAGCCCGTTATGGACCTCGGTGGAGTAAGAGATATAACCGTAAGAGCCGGCGAAGATTTCAGCATCCATGTGCCATACGTTGGGTTCCCAAGACCCACCGCATCTTGGTTTGCCAACGATAAGATTTTAGATGAAACAGACACCAGAGTATTCCCACAATTAGCTGATGATTACGCTAGTATTATCGTCAAAAACTCGAAACGCACAGACAGTGGCCAATATAGACTACAACTTAGAAACCCATCGGGTTACGACACCGCTACGATTAACGTTAAAGTACTCGATCGTCCTGGTAAACCAGAAAACCTTCGAGCCGACGAATTTGCCGGAGATGCTCTTACTTTGTATTGGCAACCACCGAAAGATAACGGAGGGGCGGAAATTACAAATTACATCGTCGAAAAGAAAGAAGCCAAATCACAAACTTGGTCGAAAGTTAGCAGCTACGTCACAGTTCCATTCATTAGAATTAGAAATCTCACGCTTGGTCGTGAATACGATTTCCGCGTTATCGCCGAAAATCAATACGGACAAAGCGAACCTGCCGTTACTTCTGAACCAATCAAAGCTCGTCATCCGTTTGATCCCCCAGGACCACCTGGAGTACCTAGAGGTGTTGATTCCTCCGAAGATTCCATCACAATTAGCTGGAATAAACCACGCCACGATGGTGGGTCACCAATTACAGGATATGTCGTTGAGAAGAGATTAATTTCTGAAGATAAATGGACCAAAGCTTCTCACGCAATCGTTCCAGATCTTACATTAAAGTAAATTAATTATTAATAATAATTTATTTAATTAATAAAAAATAATTTGCAGGGTAATCAACTTGATTGAAAATCACGAATATGAATTCCGCGTAGCAGCTATAAACGCAGCTGGACAAGGACCATGGTCAGGCGCTTCCGATATCCTCGTAGCGAGAGCCCCACCATCAGCTCCCAAAATCACTTCTGATCTAAGCATCCGCGATATGATTGTAATCGCTGGTGAAGAATTCAGAATTACCGTCCCTTACACTGCCAGTCCAAAGCCGAGAGAAACTTGGAGCATAAACGGAGATGAAGTTATCCAAGATCACCGAATTAAATTTGAAACTACCGATATTGCGTCAATCTTCCACAACAAATCAGCCAAGAGATCCGACAGTGGTGGCTACACAATCAAACTTACGAACAGCGTAGGTTCTGATGCTGCCTCTTGCCGTGTTTTAGTCGTGGATAAACCACAACCACCACAAGGACCATTAGATGTATCCGATATCACTCCCGATAATTGCTCGCTCGCTTGGAGAGCACCATTGGATGATGGAGGTTCACCAATTACAAATTACATCGTTGAAAGATTCGAACCGAGTGGAATATGGACAAAGGTCAGCAGTTTTGTTCGCAACACTCATTATGACGTTATGGGATTAGAACCAAATAAGAAGTACAGTTTTAGAGTTAGAGCTGAAAATCAATACGGTATCAGTGAACCACTAGAAACTTTAGAACCAATCACAGCGAAATTCCCCTTCACGGTACCAGACGCACCTGGAGCACCACGCGTTACAGATTGGGAAACCACCACCATTCACTTAGCTTGGGATAGGCCCAATAACGACGGTGGATCTCGCATTCAAGGTTACAAATTGGAATATCGAGATGTATCAGAAAGCAGCTGGGTCACTGCTAGCGATTATCTTATCAAAGATAGTCATTTTACGCTGTACAACATGACGAGCGGAAGAGAATACGAATTCCGTGTACGTGCCAAAAACGCTGCCGGATTTAGTAAACCATCTGCATCTTCCAGCAAATTCAAACTTAAAGGGAAATTCAACGTCCCATCACCACCATGTGCACCAAAAGTGGTTAAAGTTGGTAAAGGATATGTTGATCTTATTTGGGAACCACCAACAAGCGATGGTGGTTCTAGAATAACCGGATATATCATTGAAAAGCGAGAAATCGGTAGCGCCGTATGGACCAGGTGCAACGAATACAACGTAACAGACACCAGTTACACCGCACTTAATCTTATCGACGGATCAGATTACGAATTCAGAATCTTTGCCGTTAACGCTGCCGGAAAAAGCGATGCGTCAGCTTGCACCACCCCCGTTAAAGTATGTGAAGTACTCGGCGGTGAAAAACCAGAATGGCTCAAACAATTATCAAACCAAACAGTACCACTTGGAAGAACTCTCACGTTGGAATGCGAAGCATCTGGCAAACCTGCACCTACTTATCGCTGGTTGAGAAACGGAAGAGAAATTAATCTCACCGGAAGATTTAGACACGAAACTAGAGGAAATACTGCTTTCTTACATGTCTCTGATGTTCTTAGCATTGATGATGGAGATTATACTTGCGAAGCAAGTAATGTTCTTGGATCTGTAAGGACTACATGCTCGGTTAAAGTTGGATGTAAGTATATATATTGTTGGAAATAATTCACGAGCACACCCTGTATAATTTGAATGTGTCTCTAGCGCAATGAATTGTGCTCGTGAATTATTTCCAACAGTATAATTATAATTATTAAGTATATAATTAATTGTTGGAAATAATTGACGAGCACACCCTGTATAATTTGAATGCGTGTGTCTAGCGCAATGAATTGTGCTCGTGAATTATTTCCAAGAGTATAATTATGATTATTAAATATATAATTAATTTTTTTTAATTTTAGCGCCTCCAAGAATCGATCGCATACCTGGTGATTTATACTTACCAGAAGGTGATAACACCAAGATTAAGATTTACTACTCAGGAGATCAACCATTAGATGTGATCTTAACAAAGAGCGGCACCGTAATTGAAGAATCAGCTCATATTAAATACACCGTCTTCGATGATTACATAATAATCTTTATTAAGGGTATAACAAAAGAAGACGCGGGATTATACAATTTGACGGTTAAAAATGATAGCGGAAGCGCGTCGGGTTCATTCACAGTTTACATAACCGGCCTTCCCGGACCGCCAAACGGCCCATTAGAAACAACCGACATCACCAAACATACTTGCACCTTATCTTGGAGACCCCCGAGTTACGACGGAGGATTACGCGTTACCCATTACGTTATTGAACGCAAAGATATCAGTGGAACTCACTGGATAACCATCAATTCAAGTTGCAGAGACACAACGTTTACCGTCCAAGGTTTGGCTGAAGGTCAAGAATATCTATTTAGAGTAATGGCAGTGAATGATAACGGAATGGGACCTCCACTTGAAGGTGTCAACCCGATAAAAGCTAAAGCACCTTACGACCCACCATCACCACCTGGTGTACCTAAAGTTACCGAAGTTGGTGGTGATTTCGTCAATTTGGAATGGACCAAACCGGAGTCGGATGGTGGTGCTAGAATCCAAGGTTATTGGATCGATAAGCGCGAAGTTGGAAGCAACGCTTGGCAGAGAGTAAACGTTGCGATTTGTTTACCCACCCAAATCAATATTTCAAATCTAATAGAAGACCGCCAATATGAATTTAGAGTGTTCGCGCAGAACATCGCGGGAATTTCCGAACCATCTCAAGCTTCGTCTTCCGTTAAAATCAAAGATCCACTTTGCGCCACACCACCAGAAATTATCAAACCACTTAAAAACGCAAATTGTATTCAAAATCACAACGCTAAATTCGAATGTACCATCACCGGCGTACCGAAACCCACCATCACTTGGTATAAAGGTGCTCGAGAAATCGTCAGCGGATCCAAATACCAAATTTATAGTGAAGGAGATGTCCACCACCTCAACGTTAACGACATCTACGGCGAAGACGCAGATGAATACGTTTGCAGAGCGGTTAATAAAGGTGGAGTTAAATCAACACGTGCAGAACTTGTTATTATGACACCGGCCAAATTAAACATTCCGCCAAGATTCAGAGATACCGCCTTCTTTGATAAGGGTGAAAATGTTGTTATTAAAATTCCGTTCACTGGGCATCCTAAGCCTAGGATAACGTGGGTTAGAGAAGGAGACACGATCGAATCCGGTGGTCATTACCATGTTGAAGTTAAAGATCGTCACGCTATTCTTACAATTCGCGATGGAAGCAAGTTAGATAGTGGACCCTATAGAATTACAGCCGAAAATGATCTCGGACAAGATTCCGCGATCATCAAAATCCAAATTAGCGGTAAGATTTTGGTGTTTTTTATAAAAAAATTTATTTATTATAAAACATTTTAGATCGTCCTGATCCTCCAAGATTCCCAGCTGTTGATAGCATCGGTACTGATTCATTGGCTTTATCTTGGAAAGCTCCAGTTTGGGATGGTGGTAGCAACATTACAAATTACTTGGTTGAAAGACGCGAACACCCATTAAACACATGGATAAGAGTTGGCAACACAAGATTCACCACAATGGCCGTTAGCGGATTAGCTCCAGGTCATCAATACGAATTTAGAATATACGCCGAGAACATTTACGGACGTTCCGATCCGTCGGAAGTTAGCACGTTAGTTTCCACGAAAGACACCGGCAAAAAGAAAGAACAAAAGAGGAAATACGAAGTTGATGAGACCGGCAAAAAGATTAGGGAGTCTCATAAAGAACCAATTAGAGACTACGATCAATACGTATTCGATATTTACTCTAAATATGTCCCTCAACCAGTTGATATCAAAACGAGGAGTGTTTATGATGATTACGATATCTTGGAAGAAATCGGAACCGGCGCCTTTGGCGTAGTTCACCGATGCAGAGAACGCAAAACTGGAAATATCTTCGCAGCTAAATTCATCCCGGTATCTCACGCGATGGAAAAAGAGCTTATCCGCAAAGAAATCGATATAATGAATCAACTACATCATCCCAAACTAATCAACCTTCACGATGCGTTTGAAGACGACGACGAAATGGTTCTCATATACGAATTGTAAGTATTAATGGTGTGCTCAACTTTAAATTAAAATACTAACCACGTAAGTTTTAGCTTATCCGGTGGAGAACTCTTTGAGAGAATCACCGCCGAAGGATACCAAATGTCCGAAGCCGAAGTTATTAATTACATGAGACAAATTTGTGAAGGCATCAAACACATGCACGAGAAAAACATCATTCATCTCGATATCAAACCCGAAAACATCATGTGCCAAACAAAGAAGAGTACCAACATCAAATTAATCGACTTTGGTTTAGCAACCAAACTCGATCCAAACGAAGTTGTTAAAATTTCAACTGGAACTGCAGAATTCGCAGCTCCCGAAATCGTAGAACGCGAACCCGTGGGCTTTTACACAGATATGTGGGCCGTCGGTGTTTTGGCTTACGTCTTATTAAGCGGCCTCTCGCCGTTTGCCGGCGAAAACGACATTGAAACACTTAAAAATGTTAAAGCTTGCGATTGGGACTTTGATGAAGAAGCTTTTGGTAATGTATCCGAAGAAGGCAAAGATTTCATCCGAAGATTACTCGTCAAGAACAAAGAAAAACGCCTTACAGCCCAAGAATGCTTAGTACATGCTTGGTTAGCCGGAGACCACAGCAGCAAAACTAAAGAAATCGAACAAACCAGATATCTCCGCATCCGCGATCAAATCCGCGCTAAATACGAAAATTGGGATAAATATATTTTGCCAATCGGCAGATTATCTGAATACTCATCATTACGGAAATTACTTATGGAGAAATATAGAATACACGATTCATTCTTCGATCGCAGACAAGCCGCTCCTAGATTTGTTATTAAACCGCAAAGCGCGTTCTGCTACGAAGGACAGAGCGTCAAATTTTATTGCAGAGTTATTGGATGCGCTCAACCCACTCTTAGTTGGTATCACAATAACGTTGAATTAAGACAAAGCGTTAAATATATGAAACGTTACGTTGGAGATGACTATTATTTCGTTATTAATAGAGCTAAATTATCTGATCGTGGTGAATACATTATTAGAGCAGAAAATCATTATGGATCTAGAGAAGAAGTGGTATTCTTAAATGTTCAACGTGAGTATTTGAATTAAAATATAATAATATTGTCATAATAATGTATTATATTTTTAGCTGTACCAACCGTTGTTCCGGAATATAGACCAGAAACGCAACCAGTGCGTAGACGCGAACCTCTTCCATACACTTTCTGGCAAGAAGAACAAGAATGTGCCCCATCATTTACATTCTTATTACGCCCACGTGTCATGCAAGAACGCGACACTTGCAAATTGCTTTGTTGTTTGAGCGGAAAACCGTTCCCAACCGTAAAATGGTACAAAGATAAGCGCGAATTGAGTAAATACGAATATTCCATGTCGTCATCGGACGGAGTAGTAACCATGGAAATAGTCGGATGCAGACCAGGCGATTCCGGAAAATATAGTTGTGTAGCAACTAACATTCACGGCCAAGATGAAACATCCTGCGTGGTTATTGTTGAAGGCGAAAGCAGCACCGCCGCACAATCCGAATTGGCGCATAAATTGTTGTACTCTGGTGATAGAAAATACATCGAACAACCGATTAAACCCGCACCTATTCCGGTTACCATCAAAAAGCAAATTACAACACCCAGCGTTCCCCAACAAGCAAGCTCAAAATTAGCAAGTTTAAACGTTGATGGAGACAAGAAATCGCCGAAAAAATATGGAAGGTTAGATTCAACCGGAAGTCCTAACAGATCTAGAAGTGCCACTAAAGAATTAGCATGTACGTATCAAAAATTAAAAAGAAATTAATAATTAATAAATTCCTCTTTTTAGTGCCACCCGATGATTCCACAATGTGCGCCCCAAGTTTTTCAAGAGAATTAAAAGACTTGACCGTAAATGATGGTGAAAGTTTGACCTTGACATGTTCAGTTGTTGGAGATCCCGAACCCCAAGTCACTTGGACTAAAAGTGGAAAACCTCTAAGTTCATCAGACGTAGTCGATTTGAAATACAAAAACGGCATGGCCAAGTTACATATAAACGAGGTATACCCCGAAGATGAAGGTGAATACGTTTGTAAGGCAACTAATTCAGTTGGAACAACAGAAACTAAATGCACTTTAAAAATTAAACGTAAGTAAAAATTTATTTATACTGTTGGAAATAATTCACGAGCACACCCTATATAATTTGAACTAAAACTAGAACTAACACTAGAAACTTTCGGGTTTTGCCGTGCGTCTTTTAAGAAAAGGTTTGACGTTTGCCATGTTGTAGAAACTGGTTCGAAGTGAGTGCCACTTATCAAAATAAGTAAATTTCATATTTTCGTATCTATCTCGATATTGACGTATCTAAGAGCAAAAGTGCAAGAGAGCAATATTGTTAACAATAAAATTTGCAATAATTTTTGTTATAAAAGTTTTCTTATAGCAAGCTCCGATTCTCAAGTGTTACCTTTAATAACTTGAAAGAGCAACAAATTCATAAAATTTTCATATTTTCGTATCTATCTCGATATTGACGTATCTAAGAGCAAAAGTGCAAGAGAGCAATATTGTTAACAATAAAATTTGCAACAATTTTTGTTATGAAAGTTTTCTTACAGCAAGCTCCGATTCCCAAGTGTTACCTTTAATAACTTGAAAGAGCAACAAATTCATAAAATTTTCATATTTTCGTATTTATCTCGATATTGACGAATTTAAGAGCAAAAGTGCAAGAGAGCAATATTGTTAACAATAAAATTTGCAACAATTTTTGTTATAAAAGTTTTCTTATAGCAAACTCCGATTCCCAAGTGTTACCTTTAATAACTTGAAAGAGCAACAAATTCATAAAATTTTCATATTTTCGTATCTATCTCGATATTGACGTATCTAAGAGCAAAAGTGCAAGAGAGCAATATTGTTAACAATAAAATTTGCAACAATTTTTGTTATAAAAGTTTTCTTATAGCATGCTCCGATTCCCAAGTGTTACCTTTAATAACTTGAAAGAGCAACAAATTCATAAAGTTTTCATATTTTCGTATCTATCTCGATATTGACGTATCTAAGAGCAAAAGTGCAAGAGAGCAATATTGTTAACAATAAAATTTGCAACAATTTTTGTTATGAAAGTTTTCTTATTGCATGCTCCGATTTCCAAGTGTTACCTTTAATAAAAAGAGCATAAAATTCATAAAATTTTCATATTTTCGTATCTATCTCGAAATTGACGCATCTAAGAGCAAAAGTGCAAGAGAGCAATATTGTTAACAATAAAATTTGTAATAATTTTTGTTATAAAAGATTTCTTATAGCAAGCTCCGATTCCCAAGTGTTACCTTTAATAACTTGAAAGAGCAACAAATTCATAAAATTTTCATATTTTCGTATCTATCTCGATATTGACGTATCTAAGAGCAAAAGTGCAAGAGAGCAATATTGTTAACAATACAATTTGCTACAACTTGTGATATAAAAGTTTTTTTATAGCATGCTCAGATTCCCAAGTGTTACCTTTAATATCTTGAAAAATAAACAAATTTTTCAAATTTTCATAATTTTGTATTTTTCCCGATATTGACGTATCTAAGAGCAAAAGTGCAAGAGAGCAATATTGTTAACAATAAAATTTGCAACAATTTTTGTTATAAAAGATTTCTTATAGCAAGCTCCGATTCCCAAGTGTTACCTTTAATAACTTGAAAGAGCAACAAATTCATAAAATTTTCATATTTTCGTATCTATCTCGATATTGACGTATCTAAGAGCAAAAGTGCAAGAGAGCAATATTGTTAACAATAAAATTTGCAACAATTTTTGTTATAAAAGTTTTCTTATAGCAAACTTCGATTCCCAAGTGTTACCTTTAATAACTTGAAAGAGCAACAAATTCATAAAATTTTCATATTTTCGTATCTATCTCGATATTGACGTATCTAAGAGCAAAAGTGCAGGAGAGCAATATTGTTAACAATAAAGTTTGCAATAATTTTTGTTACAAAAGATTTCTTATAGCATGCTCCGATTCCCAAACGTTACCTTTAATATCTTGAAAAATAAACAAATTTTTCAAATTTTCATATTTTTGTATTTTTCTCGATATTGACGCATCTAAGAACAAAAGTGCAAAAGAGCAATATTGTTAACAATAAAATTTGCAATAATTTTTGTTATAAAAGATTTCTTATAGCATGCTCCGATTCCCAAGTGTTACCTATAATAACTTGAAAGAGCAAATTCATCAAATTCATAAAATTTCCTTTATACAGGGTGTGCTCGTGAATTATTTCCAACAATGTATTTTATTTCATTTTATTTTAATTAATTAATTATGTATCTTTTTAGCAATGGTAAACGGAAAGAAAAAGAGCAGTGAAGATAAACCACCTAAAATAGTAAGCCACCTTCAATCAGCTTTCGTAAATGATGGAGAACCAGTAACATTGTCCTGCCGTATAATTGGGGCGGAAAAATTCGACGTAATCTGGTTGCATAACAACAAAGAGATAAAACCAAGCAAAGAATTTAAATACACCAACGAAGCAAACATTTACAAATTAGAAATTGGAGAAATATTCCCGGAAGATTCGGGAGCTTACACATGCGAAGCGTTTAACGATGCGGGAGAGAGCTTCAGCAGTTGTACATTGAACGTAGTCGTGCCTGGAGAGCAACCGAAGAGCCCAGTGTTCAAAACATTCCCTACGTCGGTAACGATTTCGGTCGGAGAGGCCGCCTCCTTCCAAACTGAAACGGAAGACGAGCCCCTCCAAATCAACTGGCTCAAAGACGGCAAACAAATCAAAGAAAACACCGCCAAATATAGGTTCACGGCTGACGGAAAACGTTATAGCTTGCAAATTTTGAACTGCGACCATAACGACATCGGTCAATACCAAGCGAAAGCTATAGGAAAGAAAGGTGAAACCTTCGCGGCCTTCTCACTCAACGTTGTTCCATTGGGTGAACTCTAAAGTTCTGACTTCGACAACCAACAAAAAAAAATATTTTTAAATAAAACAAAAAAAAAGCCTAAATCCCAAACGAACGAATTGCTCCGAAGAACTTGTATTTATGTATCATATGTTGTGTAAAATATAATTTTAAGTGTTTTTTGATATCGTCTCGATGGGTTTGGGGTTTGCACCCAAAGTCACATCTGCTATCACGCGCCAGCATCCTCAACTTTTTTACCATCTAAAAACGAACGTGTGATAACGGTCGTGTTTTCGTGCGAACCCCAGAGCTTTAAGTTTAATCCGAACGACCTTTTTTATTTATTTGATTTTTTTTTCTCTGGCATTCTTAATTTTTCTAGCGAACTGGAGCAAATTACGACACATGACACACTTATTACTAATTGTATGAAAAAAGATTATACTATAAAATAATTTTAGTGTGAAAGTGCTTGTGCCATATTTTCATTACGCCATCGTTTTTTCGTTGATTATTATTAATTATCAGGATACGATTATGTTTTCATATTCGCATTGTCGCTTATGCATAGCAAACAGAACTCTGTATCATATTATGTAAAAAATATACGAATTTAAAAATTTATTTTATTTTATTAAAAATGGACTTCCTATATTCTTCTCAATAACTCGGCTAGAAAGAAAAATAGTACTCTATAAAGCTATAATATCAGAACTCCAACTCAAACACACACAAAAATTCACATAAAACATGAGCTTTTCTTCGTGGTTGCATATCAACTAAAAAATCTATTAGTAACCGAGATTATAACATTCAGGAAAGGTAATAAAATATAAAGGAACTTAACTGGAAAAATTTCACGCAAAATTAAATTACGGATCTAAGTTTGAAATCTCCCCGCGATATTCAATTGTTTTGAAAATTACACTTAAAGATTCTGTTTACAATATGAGTATAAACTATAACGTAATATTACTGAAATTTCCAAGAAAAAATTATTAATGGAGAAATTTCCAAATTTATAAATCAAAATCATATCAAAATCATGATATGATATCTATGTTAAATTGTAGCTTAAAGATTCTAGTTTACGATATGACATATAAACTATAACGTAATATTACTGAAATTTCCAAGAAAAAATTATTAAAGGAGAAATTGCCAAATTTATAAATCAAACGTAATACAAAAATTTGAAAAAATCGTATCAACTGTATTTTTAAAAATCATGATATGATATGTATGTTAAATTGTAGCTTAAAGATTCCAGTTTAGGATATGACATGTAAACTATAATGTAATGTTACTGAAATTTCCAAGAAAAAATTATTAAAGGAGTAATTGCCAAATTTATAAATCCACATAATGCAAAAATTTGGACAAATCATATCAACTGTATTTTTAAAAATCATGATATGATATGTATGTTAAATTGTAGCTTAAAGATTCCAGTTTAGGATATGACATGTAAACTATAATGTAATCTTACTGAAATTTCCAAGAAAAAATTATTAAAGGAGAAATTGCCAAATTTATAAATCAAACGTAATACAAAAATTTGAAAAAATCATATCAACTGTATTTTTAAAAATCATGATATGATATGTATGTTAAATTGAACCATAAAGATTCTAGTTTACGATGTGACATAAAAACTATATGATAATATTATTGAAATTTCCAGAAAAAAATTATTAAAGAAGAAATTGTCAAATTTATAAATCAAGAATAATATGAAACTTTCAATCATCGACTACATTAGAGAACGATAGCGTTAAAAATCTTGGCAAATTTTGGACGGATTCAATGAATTTGGCAGCTAATTGGAGTGGAATAATTTTGTTATTCTTGTTTATATGTTTATTATATAGATTTACAATTGTAATGATTTTTTTACTTAAATATAAAAAATTGAATACAAAATTGGAGGAATAACTCATTTTGTTACATTTATTTTTTTGTTATACTATAAAAAATAATATAAAATAAAAGAGTTATAAAACGTTAAAAATAATTATAAATATGTAGTGTAAAAGATATGTAAGGAGATTCAAATTCTTGTAGTTTATGAAATTTGATAGTTATTCATGTCGTTTTTCGCAAGTTGTTTCTTGTTGAGCAGAAAGCAGGAAACCCACTAATAATTCGCATGATACTAATTTTGGATCTTGGCCAACTAAAAAAATAAAATATTAAAAATATAAAAAAATTTTATTATATCATACTAATTTGAATATATTTTTCTAATAAAGCCCTTCTTTAGTCAAGTTGTCCATCGGTTAATGGTAATAATTTCCTAACCTATGGATATAAAGAGGATTGATTATGATGATGATGATGATAAAGCAAAAAATAATAATTCTTGTTTATACGTTTATTATATAGATTTACAATTGTAATGATTTTTTCACTTAAATATAAAAAATTGAATATAAAATTGGAGGAATAACTCATTTTGTTATATTTATTTTTTTTGTTATACTATAAAATATAAAATAAAAGAGTTATAAAACGTTAAAAATAATTATAAATATGTAGTGTAGTTACATTAATATAGACAGCAATATACAAATACAGTACTCAAAAAATCATGCATCAAAACATAGATAAATGTGTAAAGATTTCGACACATATTTTTCTGTTAACTGCAGATAGAAGAAGAAAAGTTACAAATATAGATATGTATATACATTTAAGAGGTTCCGGTTATATCCATAAATCCACTAATTAAACATTGGAATGATTACGATATGTAACACACACTTATAATTATTGCGTAAAATGGAAATTTTAAGAAACAAAAAAATATTTCAGAAAATCATTTGTCGGTATATAAAAAACCAAAATTATATCACATTCACATTTCGCTCTCTCGTAATTTGGAAATTATTTTATTTACAATAAAAATTCGAAACAAAAAATTTTAGGCTTAGTACATTTTTCAGTGATTACATTTAACACGATTACATTTTTATCTTAATAAAGGTGCATACGAGATTAATATCTTTTTTGAGTAAGTTTTTTTTTATTTTTATCATTGAGCATTATTTTAAAATATAGAAGATTTTTTCAATCGGGATACTTTTAAGAATATATTTGAATAGGATATGAGCAAATTCAGGTACAGAGACATCTTACACGTTTAATCTAAAATAATTAATAGAAAAAATGGGGTGAAATATTAAAGACANAAAATTTTTCAGTAATAATTTTGCTTACAAATCATCATCCCCAATCCCCTCAAACGCATGATTCTCAACAAACTCTTTACCTGTTTTAAAAGAAACGCTCGAAAACTTCTCTTGCAATTTTTTTATTGAAAAAGTATTACTTTCTGATGATTTTGTTTCCTCTGAAACGGCGTCCGTGTTCACATCAGGATCGTCCAGCGATATTGTATGACTGGAACCGTCGCGTTTCATATACGACCAAGGGCCTTTGCAAGAATAAATCGATTTTCGCCTAATCCCTTTTTTTTTTAATAATAACTCGTCGACCACGGACTGCAAACAAACGGACATTAATATGGATTGAGGTGAAGATATTGTTATCCATTTTAATTCTTCTTTAGCCATTAAATATTCAAAGGATAACTCTACTTCTGGTCCTATTGACACCATACTGCTATTCGATGGCATATTTGGTTTATTCTAAAAAACACATTATAAAATTTTTTTTTTATTATTATTTTAATATTTACATGCATTGCTGTGATTCTCCAGCACCTCATTCGAGTAACTTTAAAGCTTCCTTCCCCCATAACGTGGCCAATAAGTCTTAAATTTAATTCCTCCCCTCCAATGGCAACTAAAGCTTTAGTTTGAGGTTTGGGATAATCGCAAAAACAAACGTTAAACTGCGTATAACCATAATACTTTAAAGTTCTAGCAAGTTCTAAATATTCTAGTTTAGCTAATCGAGCTTGAAAATGCGCGAGTTGATTTTTAATGTCAGAATTGGTTAAAATCCATCCGCGCTCGACATCAGAAACTGTTTGAGTATAAAGTAAATTTAAAGCAACCGGATTATTCATTAATTCCAAGTCATATTTGCTATCCCAGTAACTTTTTCTGATGACTAATCGATTAGATTCCCTAATAGACTTGCAAGATATATAAGGAGATTCAAATTCTTGTAGTTTGCGTAAAATTGTGATATCACCACCATTCTCTTCTTTGCGAATAACATATAATGCAAAATATGATGTGAATTCAGGCGGGAGATTTATGTGTTTGCATGCTTTTAATAAAACTTGTTCTGTACGATCAGTGGAAAGGATATTTAATGAAATTTGATAATTATTCATGGTGTAAATGTCAAGTTTTAACTCATGTCGTTTTTCGCAAGTTGTTTCTTGTTGAGCAGAAAGCAGGAAACCCACTAATAATTCGCATGATACTAATTTTGGATCTTGGCCAACTAAAAAAATAAAAAATTAATAATATAAAAAAAATTAAATATACTAAATTTTATTATATCATACTAATTTGAATATATTTTTCTAATAAAGCCCTCCTTTCCTCAAGTTGTCCATCAGTTAAGGGTAACAATTTCTTGGGTGGAAAATGTGGTAACCGGTCCCCTCCGAATTCTTTTTTCAACTGCTCATTCAAGTTGTGTAACTGCCTATAACGGACGGTACAATGAAAAACGCCGTTGATATGTATATTGTAACCCTAAAAAAAGAAGACTTTATTCACATTTTCAATCGCAAACTTGATTTTTAGAAAACAGATGTAAAAGCGAAAGGAAATTGTTTACCATGTAGGTGGATCCATTTCCGTCGTTCAACTCTTGCGTGTCAGGAATCGAAAAATGCATCCTGATATCAAACTATGCGATTTGACTAGTTTCGGATCGATGGGGACGGCGAACCATAACACTTACAACGATCACTGTAAAATTCTTAAAAAATGTAATCTTATTAATGGAATTGCCAAAGTGACATTTACTCACATTATCAGGGTGAACAACAATCACTTTTTAGACATAAAACAAAATAACCCTAGAATTATTAAGGTAATTAATACACAGATGGCGTAATAACGACAATTTAATTATTTGGTCACTAAAAAAATTCACTAATTAACTCTCAATTAGTGAGTAATTGAAAAAACTCAATGATATTAATTAATATTTAAACGATTAATTCGAACGAACTTCAAGTAACTGGACAATTTGGGTTGCCTATACTAATTAAACGTTAAATTAAAATTATTTATGGAAATAACTTTATTGTTCCATTTATTTCGTCATCTTCCATTATTCTTGCATAAATAAAGGTATTATCAATAAAAATTGGATTCCTATAGGCTTATTTTTTAATTTTACAATTTTTTATAGTTGTTCTAGATTGTTCTAGAGTTGTTCTACATTGTTCCAAAGCGGCAAAAACTAATTTTTAAAATGAAACTTTAAAAAAAGTAAAACCGCAGTGATTAAATAAACATTTTAAGTAACTAGAACAACAAGAACAATTTAAAGCAACAAAGAAGATGTGATTTTGCAAAATTAATGTCCGTGTAACCAAAAAAACCTTTTTTCACTAATTTAAACGTAAAACACACCTAGAACACACCTACAATTTGAATCGGCAAAGTTTGAGTTATTTTAGATCATTATATGTTTTTTAATTGTTATTGTGTAATTTAAAGTCGATAACACAAAAATTACTGACTGAAATTACTGAATTTTTCAATTTTTAAAGAGTAAAGTGTCCTTTATAGAGTTGTTCTAGAGAAAATATAGCTGTTCCAGATTGCGTTAGATATAATAAGTATATATTTGTAATGTGGAATTGAAAATAGAAAAACTATTGGAATACTATTAAAAACCTATTACTTAGGTGTTGGACACTGCAGATAATAATCAAATTCAACCCCAATAGGACTAAATAGGAATACATTTTTGAAATGTATTAGTTTTAAAAATTCGTATAACCAACCCGTTTTGAAAAATTGCTTTTAGTTTTTGAGAAAACAATATTTAAAGTTTTGATAAAATTTTCGATGTTGCAATTTTCATCGATAATTTTCAAAATTCGCTATAAAATTAAAATTTGTGGAAATACCACCAATTATTAATTAAAGTATCCTCTTTTCAATGCAAAAAGCCATTTTGAAAAATCACTTTTAATTCTTGAGAAATAAATTTTTTAAATCGACAATTTTTTCGAATTTTGCAATTTTCGCCGATTAAGTTTTAAAAATTCGTA